CCCATTCCTTCCTCCGTGTCCTGCATTAGTATCATCTGCTGGTCTTTTCCTTGATTGTTGTTTCCTTTCATTCTTATCTGAAAGTCCTTTCTGGTCTGTTATGAATTTAGTTATCTCCTGAGGACTCAAAATTTTGATTCTTGGGTTCCATCATAGATCTGGCACATTTAGAAAGGGGTCCAATGACCCATTCTAAAAATGCTAAATCTATAACAACATGTGATAGATTTTTGGTCTGTCTGTCCATCAAATTTAGCATTTCTATAATAACGGGAATCACCCATCATTGGCAATTTCCAGTACAAACACAAATAGAAATTTTTGGATCATATTTACAGAGCACTCAAGTAGTTTTTGAGAAAGACAGTTGCCAACCAAGATCAGGGTTTTCCTTAGTTTTTTCCGTGTTTTAACAAAGAGAAACAAAGAGAGGACAAGGAGTATTGCCCACCACCAGGAGGAGGCACCAGTATCATTATCTTTATTTCTCTGTGTAGAAAAATTTACAAGAAATCAAAGAGAAATGGACTTGTTTTTTGATGTGGAGGGGGGGGGAGAGTTAGGAAAATGAAAAAAATGACAGCCATTATGTTGTGGATAACTTTCCAGCATTACTACAAACAATATTACTAGTACCAGTCAATTGGCCTCCTTACTAATAGTACTGCTAGTACTACTAGTACTACTACTACCACCTTATACCTTACAAGTATTAGTCCTAAATAATGCTATCAAATTATAACAGGTAATGTATCAGTTTTTATAACTGGAGCTATCTTGCCAGCATCTTTTTGCTACCAAGAAGAGGGCCCAATAATAAGATTTAAAGAATCTGTCACCAGTCTGAAAGGGTTTTCTTTCTCTACTATGACCCAGAGATGTGTACTACATTGCTGTTTTTTTGGCCAAAGAGTCTCTTCTGGTTTGTTGAGGATTTCTCTATGCATCAAATTTGCAAAAAATATAGTATTAAATCACCAACCTCCAGCATAAGGACCTGTCACTCCTCCAGTTCTTCATTCATGCACCCCAATCCTGACATGACAACACTACTACTATTACCGCATGTAGTACCTAGGAACCATTTATTATTATAAGATCAAGAGGATCTCAAAGTTGTGGTCAATCATCAATTGGCCCACCACTGGTTTACAAGAAATAGCAGCAGCACTAAGTAGCACTATGTGGTTTACAACAATGACTCCTCAGGATCAGCATCCTCTGTACTATGATGGGGGACTCCTCCTTTATATCAGTGTCCTCCTTTGTATCAGTGTCCTCCTCCTCTGTATTAGCAACTTGTATCAGCAACTCGTATCAGCATCCTCTGCATCAGCAACTTGCTAAATTAGTGCTACTAATTTGGTTCTACATGGAACTAAGTGTCAGCTTTTAATTTTTTGTCTAAAATAGTGTTGCTGCTGTTCTTCCTGTGGACTCCTGCAGATTTCCGACCAGTTTTGGACCTGTCACACACTACTAGTAGCTACTACTACTACTACTACTACTACTACTACTACTACTACTACTACTACTACTACTACTACTACTAGTATTTAGGACAAAAACTTGCTTCTTGTACTAGTAGTAGTACAAGTGCAATCATGCTGTCATGATGTTGACACMATCTCAACAACTATCTACTTTGTACTAGTGMTACTACTAGTACTACTACAACTAGTACTACTACTAGTACTGCAATGGATACGTACGTACTGGAAGCATACATACATACGGTGCTTCCTCGGAATGGATTGACATACCATTCCTACCTATCGTATAGCGTTGGCCAGCAGGTGTACGATAATATCGGGGATTTTTGGCTATCTAATTACCGTGTAAT